GGGTTGTTTCTGCCTTGAATGAACTGACGGAGGTAAGAGGATCTATAAGGACAGGGATCGGGGACTCATTTAAGCTATCGAAGCAGATGTCTGTTTGATCAGAATGCTTATTTAATAATCATAGGTACGAATCTGGTCTGAGGCTCACTTTCATTAGAATATGCTGGCAGGGATGAGAAGGAACAGCTAACCTCACCCAACTCAAGCTTCCTTGGCTCTACCATGAACCACTGAAAAGTACCCAACAGTTGTGATCAAACAGATTGACTCCGGTTGGCTTGTAACAAGACAGACAACCCAGTAGTGACTTACTATGGGACAAGCAGAAGACACGTCTTCAAGTGTTCACAGTTGTGGCTGGGGTACTCCAGACCATGATTCTGATACCCACTCAAAGAAGTGTGAATTATCATTATTCCCATTTTAAATTATGAAGACTCTCATAATTTAAAAAGTTCTCATGGCTGGTTGGTGACCCTGCATGGACTTGAACTCTGATCTCCAACTCTCTACACCTTGTTTTGGGTTGTTTTCCCCATACCCTCTAGTCTCACCCTTGCCTTTTCCTTTCTGAGGCAGCTGTTGAGCAAACCCAGCCAACCCCATGAGTTCCACCCCCACTCCTGCCAAGGCTGCCATCAGAAGGCGGACAGGCCAGGACAGTAAAAGGGCACACTGGCATGCTGCCCTGAGAGCAGCGGGTCATGGGCTGTGCCAGGGCTAGGCGCCAGCATGAGCTAAATCTGCCCCTCCCTTCCTGCCCGCCCCCCCAACCCTGGCCAAAGTGGTGGAGAGCAGGAGACTAAAGGAAAGAACACGTTAACCATCAGCAAATATCATGAGAGGTGCGAACATAGAGAGCCAGGATATGATGTGTACCCACTTTCCAGGGCACCCAGGGCTAGGCTGGGTAGGGGCAGGAGCAGCTGCTACAGGAACAATTTATCAAAGACAAGAAAGAAAGATGAAGGTGGAGAGAGCCTGACCCAAAAAAATGAAGATATGGAATTGCAGGGGACAGGAGGTCGGGACACAGCGGTAGAAAGGCCTATGAGATGACCTGCCTTGAAGAATTTTCAGCCTCACCAGACCCTGGCAGGGAGGGCTCACTGCCCCAGCCTCTTGGCCGAGAGTCCAGACTAGGCTGAGTGGAGGAAGGTCCCCAATACTGCCTCCCAGAGCTGAGGGGAAGAAAGAAAGGCTGACCTTTGAGGAGAGGCTTGGGGTGGGGATGAGGAGACAAGCCCTCTACCCTGAAAGATGTGCCTGGCCGCAGAATCTAGAATCCTGGCCGACCCAGAGCCTCACCATGTGTTTGTTTTTGCTTCCGTGGTGACACAGATAAAGAGTGGGGAAAATAAACCAATGAAACATGCAGAACTCCTCTCTCACCTGCCTTGACCCTGAAGAAAGCAATCCCATTGGCAGACTAGGGGCTGGAGGGAGCATACAAGTTCAATAGCAGACTCCAAGGTCCCGCCACCACCAGCAGTAACTGGTAACCTGCTCCACCTCTTCCCATTCCCATCCCCTGGCTTGAGAAAATTGTCAGAGTAAGCTGCCCCTGAGATGGGCACCAGCACGGGTCACTCACTCTCTGGCAGTGTCGGTCCATCGCCTTACCTCCACAGCTGTCAGGAAGACTCTTTGAGAACAGGCTCTGGTTACAGGGCATAAACAGGCCGCAGAATCACCTGGCCCTGGTATGGCCGTGCTGCTGGTGCCACTGACAGATCTGTGGTCCTGGGGCCTTATTTTGAGAACAACCACTGTAGCTCTCTTGGAAGCCTGAGTAACCAGGGGGTGGGGAGAGGTGACAAAGATGGAGGAGAGATTGCAAAGTGGGATGGCCTCTCTCTCTGTATGCCACCTCCTCCTCTTCTTCCCCACTCATCTGAATTTACTCCAAAGAATACAGATCTTCCTTCCCCGGAGTGGTCATGTGTACCAGTCCCTGTGACCTTGGCATGGGCCACAGTGCACATGAGCAGCCCATCTTCCAAGTCAATTGGGTCAGAACCAAGCTGTTTGAGACCAAAGACCATTCCCTGTCATTGCTGTGCAGACACAGATATCTGTTTCATTGGAGCAACAAAATCTACGTATTTGTTCCAACCCTAATCAGTGGGATGAAAGTTTCTATCTTTTTAGTTCTAGGAGACCCTTGGTGTACCCAAAATGGGATTCTGAATCTCTAAGTGCTCAGCCAAGACCTAGAGCTGATTACAGTGAGTGTGCAGCGGGGGCTTCCAGAGCAAATGTTGCAAACCCAACAGAAGACCACTCATTCTGGAGGAAAAAACAGAAATGCAACCGGGTTTTCTTACTGAAGGGCGGCCCTATATCCTCCAGAACCAAGGATTGCTGGGGCTGGAATTCTACCTGGTGATTGGGAACTTCAGAAAGCAGATAAACATCTTGGGGGCCCATCCAGGTCTATAAATTGCTAATACAGCGTGAATATCCCAAACAGAGTAGAAGAAATCATGGGAAGCTGAACCAAATCGTATAGATCCAAGGAGAGTAATCAGCTATCAAAAGGGCAGAAAGACTGGCTGGACTCAGCCTTAAGGCCACCTCAAGGCTCCTAATTGGCAGGCTTGTGGAATTGTATCTGTAGCTCTCACTTGATAATTACAGATCAATCTCAGATCAGGATAATATGCTAGATTACTACTATTCAATGGCTGTGGAACTTTGGGAGTCTCCACCTCTTTGCTAGTCTGTTACCTCCTAAAACATGAAAGGATCTCTAAACTGAATTCAGCCACATGTGAGATCAATCTGCACATATGAGTGATGCACAGCCTTCATTATTTTTAAGATATGAAAAGACAGGGGTGACTAGGAGAACAGGTCTTCAGAAACTGAGAATGTGGAGGATCACTCCTGAATGGAAAGATCAGAAAGAAGAGGAGACAAGGAACAAAAGAACTTCAAAAGACCACGCTATGGGATCCGGAGTAGGCACTGTGCATTTCCAACGAGGCCAGGCCAGACCAGGCAGAAATTCTGTGGTTTTAGCTATGCAGCTACCAAGGTCCTCTGCTTTCTATCATTTGTGAAGTAAGTTTGTGCAGGTTTGAAGTGTAGTGTGTATGTGTGTTTTAAATTGGCTAACTTGAAACTTCCTCCCCCCAGATTCATCAAAGTATCAACGTATGACTTACTCAGAATATAGGTCACCGATTTATACAATGTTATTGCAGGAAAAGGCCTTTGAGGATGCACACTTGTAGACGCACACACACACACACACCCCACACACAGAGAGGGGCTTAATAAATGCATATTGAATGAGGACACTTCATTACAGAGTTAAAGAATTATTCATCTATTCAACAATTATTACATATCTATTGTGTGCTGGAACCTGAGTTAAAATTAGGCCAGTTGCACATCTGCTAGAGCGGAAAGAAAATACTTGATTCAAGGCTGTTTAGCAATTTAATCAAAAAGCTAAACTAGTTTTTTAAAGCCCTGAATGTTATTTTTTCCCCTATACTTGGACAGTCAGGCATATGGGCCTTGGCATAAAAATGTTCCAAATCCGAATTGGGGTGAGGCATGTGGCTAAAAAGACCTTCAAGCACTTCCAGTCCTTTCCACACTCCTGGAAGATTTTTAAGGAAAAAAAAAAAAAAAAAAAAAAGGAAATATCCTTTGGTTTCGGTATGCATTCTCTGTACTTGCATCCATCTCTTTGACATGGTTGGCCAAAGAGTCTGCTAAAAATATACAAAAGAAGGTGGGTGGGAAGGGGGAATACAGAGAGAAAATTGAAAAAACAAACCTCGTTCCTTGCTGGCTGCCTCCCCCAACAAATTCACCAAAATGTTTAAGCATGTCACTGTTTATCCCTCTTTTTAGCCAGTTTTTGGCACTTGACTTGGATATATACTGTCTTTTAAATAAAAGGGGAAAGGGCCCTCATTTTTATTCTTCTTGTTGGGCTCAAGAGTCTCTGAGACTGAGAAAAACTCTCTAGCTTCAAGCAGGTCTTTGTTCTGATTTTGCTGCCTCCCAGTAGCTGGAAGGCAGGCTGGGGAGTGGTGGGAAGGCTGTTTGAGCCAATGCCCATTGTGCGGGTAGCAGAATCCACCAAGATCCTGAAGGTATAAGGGAGCCAGTTTAGTAGAACTTCCAAGGACCAGTCAGCTGGGAATACCTAAGTCTCCAGTCTCTCAGGTTCCGTGATCTGTCCATCCATGTCATCGTTGGAGTTTGCCCAAAGGGAACAGAGGAAAGGAGCTCAGCAGGAGCTAGTCCAGGAGCTGGGTGGTTGGATCATTGGGCTTCTTGGAGTTTGCTTCAGCTCTTCTCTTTCAGCAAAGGTTACTGGAGCAGGCTAGGCCTACTTTGGCTAGGAGAGCTGAGTCATGCATGGGAAGAGAGCAGCAGCTATAAATTATCCTGTGTGTAAGGCTGGCTTTCTAAAACTCTGGCTTTGGGCTTAGAGTCTTTATTTATATCTCTCACAGGAATATTTTTCAAACTCATGGCCATGCACTCTGTATTGCTTTGGGCACACTCCAAGCACCTGGTCTCCTCTATGATGAGTTCTGTTGGTGACAGTCCCCAGGGACCCTGGGCCGGGGCTCTGAATCCGATATCACTCACACCCACACATATACCCCCTCGCTGCCAAGGCCAGACCCCATCTCACACATAGAAGCATGTCCAGCTTCATTGGCACAGTGTTGCATGCAGACACAGATGACACTGAGCCAAACACACACACACACAAACACACACACTTTCTCTTTCTCTCTCCGGTTCTCCCCATATGCAAACTACTACAACCCACTGGTTCTCTGGCCATTTCAGAGACAGTCTCTGCTCACTGTGAAACCTGCCACACAAAAGAACACTCCACAGGCTGAAGGACCCCTCCAGCAGTCAGATGCCCACCTCTCTGGCTGAGGTGTATTTTGTAACTGACTGAACAAATTTTTTATGTGCTTTGGTAAATTTGGTTTGCTTGTTGTTGTTACTCATACCTTACAAAGTGGATAGCGAGGTGCCGTAAAATAGAAGCTGTCACGTAATTCACCCTCTTGAGAACAATTTCTCTGGCCAAATCTTCACAAATCAGAGTGAAATGCCATGGAGATGCTGGTCCTCCCTCTTGGATTACCAGGCAAAGAGAAGCAAAATTTCCTGAGCAGAAGTGAAAAACGGGGCAAGGTTATCTCTTCTAATAAATGTGTATGCTCCACAGGTCTGTCCTTAGTCCACACTGACATTGTTTGTGTACCTTCCAGCTCCCTGGCCTTTTTTTTCTCTTCCCTCCTTTGTAATTAGATTATTTTTGATAGTTTGATAAATTAGTGATTGTTGTTTATTTCCCTCAGTTTATTTACCATTATTTGCTTTTATCAAACAAAGTCTCTTCCAGATAGATAGAAAGTATCTCATTGTGGCCACTTTCCTGGGAGACACAGGGAAACAAAACACTTTGCCTAGGACCACATAGGGCAGTGGCTGTGACGGGTTTGAGTCCAACACCTCCAGACCCTGCATAGCAACTTGCTTCTGGGATGATGATCACAGGTCCCTCTAATTCATCCAGCCCAAATTCTATCCTCTGAGCCCTATGTCTTCTTATCCAGATGACATAGGACTGACCCCAACTCCCATTCACCACCTTTCTGGGAAGCGGTACTCCTAGACGCTGAGGCTAGATCTTATGGGGCTGTCCTCACCTGTCAGTAGAAGGGATGGTTAGGGCTCTACATGGGGTAGCAGTGACCCTACTGTTGATTGCCACAATGCCAAAAATCTGAAAAAAAAGTCAAAGTTCTACATTAGATTAGTGTTCCCCAGTTCCTCTCTCTTCCCACCTGATTTCCCCATCATAAGCACATGCTGTTGACACATATTTTATACTCTTATCCCACCATGATCTCTAGCTCTCTTCCAAGCACAGATATATAGTTACAGATACATAGATATAGATATCTACAAGGAATCACTTTCCAGCCCTGGATCATCCAACCATCTTTCTACTACCATTCAAACATTACCTAAATTTCTACTTCTTCCACCAGCTTTTCCAGATATCTTTTTTTCCTCTCGACTACACAAAGCACTAATTCCTGCCACATAGATCTCATGGAAATGTTTGCACCTCATCCTTCCATGGCGGTTCAATGCTTACAGTTTAGTCATGCTTTGCCTGCAATGGGGCACATGCTGGACAGCTCTATCTGCCCCTCCAAGCCCAACCTTCTCCGTCCTGCTGAGTCTCAGGAGGCCCTATCAAAAGGAGTCCCTTGCCCTACAGCTTTCATTTGGATTTGGCCAATGGGAGGCACTATCTGGAAGTCAGAGAGAACGAAGAAAGGGGAAGCCGGGAATTGACTCCCTCATTCCCTCCCTGCTGCATTGGTCCAGGTTGTCTGGGATCCTTACAGCTCCTGGCATATGGTCCTGTCTACAGAGCTACTGTATTAGTTTCCTGTGGCTGCTATATAACTTACAGCAAACTTGGTGGGTTAAAAACCACAGCAATATGTTCTCTCATCGTTCCAGGAGGACAGAAGTCTGGAATCAAGGTGTTGGCAGGGCCATGTTCCCTCTGGAGGCTCTGGGATCGGCAGGATCTGTTCGCTGCCTCTTCCAGCTGCTGGTGACTGCCAGCATTCCTTGACTTGTGGCCCCATCACGCCAATCTCAGTCTCTGCGGTCACATTGCCTCCTCCTCTCATCTGTGTCTTCTCTTCTATCTAAAATCCCTCTCTTTCATTTAAAAAGACATTTGTCATTAGATGTAGGGCCCACTTGGATAAACCAGAGTAATCTCATCCCAAGATCCTTAACTTAATGAGATCTGCAAAGATCCCCTTTCCAAATAAGGTCACATTCGTGGGTTCCTGGGATTGTGGGATGGGCATGTCTTGGGGAAAGCGTCACTCTTCAGCCCATCACAGCTTCCCTCTCTGGGCGCCAGTCGTTGCTCTCACCCCTTGCCCTTACTAGCCCTGGGGCCCTGCACTATCCTTCGTAGGGTTCCCTTTATCTCATCCGTACCTTTGTGAACAACATTTTTATTACTTTTATTAAACTCACTTCTAATCACCAGTTTGTTTCCTGACTGGTACAAGCATCTTGAGCTCAAAGCATCAGGTAAAGCATCTGTGGGGTTCACTCTATGCACTCTATGCAGAAAGTAAAGATTTCTGATGATAATGACAAAAATGAGAGGAAGAACTTCAAGGGAGAAGGGGCCCAGCCCTCAGGAGCAGCATCCTGTCAAACATTGAATAGAATTCCTCCCTAAACTCAGTCCCGGGTATGAAATGAAGGGGTAGAAATAGAACGATTCTAGGTTCTTCCCAGACCCTTTTTGTTAAGACTATTCCATATTTCAGCAGCAGGTAAACAACCAAGTTGTCCTGCAGTCCTGACTCCAATGGCTTAAATGGTGGGTCTCAAACTTTAGCATGCACCCAAAGGGCTTGTTAAAAGGCAAACAGTGGTGGCTCACACCTGTAATCCAAGCACTTTGGAGGCCAACGTGGGCAGAGCACCTGAGATCAGGAGTTCAAGACCAGCCTGACCAATATGGTGAAACCCTGTCTTAAAAAAAAAAAGGTGAACAGCTGGGCCCCACTTGCAGAGTTTTCAATTAAGTAGTTCTGGGTAAGACTCAAGAATTTGCATTTCTAACAAGTTCCCAGGGGATGCTGATTGGTGTGTCTGGTCCAGAGACCAAACTTTGAAAACCATTGGCTTAAAATATATAACAGATTTACTCTCGTCGGGCACAGTGGTTCACACCTGTAATCCCAGCACTTTGGGAGGCCGAGGTGGCTGGATCACCTGAGGTGGGGAGTTCAAGAACAGCCTGACCAACATGGATAAACCCCATCTCTACTAAAAACACAAAATTAGCCGGGCATGGTGCTGCATGCGTGTAATCCCAGCTACTCAGGAGGCTGAGGCAGGAGACTTGCTTGATCCCGGGAGGCGGAAATTGTGGTGAGCCAAGATCGCACCATTGCACTTCAGCCAGCCTAGGCAACAACAGTGAAACTCTGAAAGAAAAAAAAAAGAAGAAGAAAGAAAGAAAGAAAGAAAGAAAGAAAGAAAGAAAGAAAGAAAGAAAGAAAGAAAGAAAGAAAGAAAGAAAGAAAGAAGAAAGAAAGAAAAATTTACTCTCTCATTAAAAAAAATAATAATAAAATAAAAAGCCCTGGAGATGGTGGCTCCAGGGTTGGTTAACTCAGTGGCTCAACCAGGTCCAGGATCTGGTTCCACTCTGCTCTGCCATCCTCAGCATGTCAGTCTTGCCCTTGACTAGGTCCTAGCAGCTGCAGGCTGGGTCCAACAGTTCCAGGCATCCCTTACAGTCTGGATAGTAGCTAGCAAAAGAGATTGGCCTTCTTAAGGACTGAGAATCTTCTAGCCTCCTTCCATCATATTTGCCAGGATCACATCAAATGCTTGTGCCTAAACCAATCGTTGTCAAGGAGAGGAGGAACAGCAATGATTGGCTTATACCCATCAGTCATGGAAGGAAGAGTAGACAGCAGCTATGTTGATGGGCTCTGGTGACAACAGAGAAAAGGAGTACATCGCCTCCTGCTTCAGTCTTATGCCTGCTAGAGTACTTTTTGAGTGTTGTCTGTTGGGCAAACATGTTTGGGAATGCTACTTGGAGGAGTGGGCATAGGACGAAGGACAGACAAAGCCTAGTGGTCTGTGTTTAGGTGGCAGTGACACGTAGCCCAGTAGAGAAACAGAATCTTTCCCTGAGTTGCAGCAAATAATGCTGTAGGGGGATTTTCTTTCTGCAGAAGTTGCTAAGCAGGGACAGCTGGTGATTATGTGGCTCCTAGGAGATGAAGGCCTCTGGGAAGTACTCAAAATTCACCAGCAGTCAGAGAAGCACAGATAGCAGAGAAGAGCAAACAGTAACTGTCACAGCTCTTCCCTTATTTCTGTGAGGCATCTCAGTGCCCTACACATCTCTGGAAGAAATGTCTCATTTGTCTCCACTAATTGGAACTATGTTTCTGTTCTCTGCCACCAAATAAGTTCAGATTTAGACACTGGTTCTGTCATGAAGAACAGAGAGAAAGAAGGTCTGAGAACCACATAAGGGTGGAGGGAGCTAGAACCACCTCAGCTCCCATCCAGAACCTCCACTCTTGACCACATCTTCCAGACTGGGAACGAACAAAACAGAATCAATCCCCACCTAAAACCCCAGGACCCAGTCTACTCCGTGATTGGCATGCAAGAAATGCGCAAGGCCCCTAGGGCCTTCAAAGACAGGGCAGAAACAGAGAAAAGCCAGGTTTAATGAGGCACCACCTTTCTTTGCAAAAGGAGTACTTCTGGCCACAGACACTGGGGAGCATAAGAAAACAGTCTGCACTCTCAGAGTTCCCCTCATTCTCCAACAGCTGCCAGGGTGAGGGCTGGGTGAGGGCATCCTCCTGCAGGTGATGTGGACAGAGGATTTCTCCAAGGGTAGATTTCACGGGGAGGAGGGCCAACTCCAGACCCAGACTAGGTTTCCTCCTGGGACTTTTTCCCCTCTAGGCAAGAAAGTTCCTCATGCATGTGCTAAAACAGAAAGTTGCTTCCTTGTTTTATTTATTTATTTATTTATTTATTTATTTATTTATTTATTTATTTTTGAGACTGAATTTCACTCTTGTTGCCCAGGCTGGAATGCATTGTCATGATCTTGGCTCACTGCAACTTCCCCCTCCTGTGTTCAAGCAATTCTCCTGCTTCAGCCTCCCAAGTAGCTGGAATTACAGGCACATGCCACCATGCCCATAATGTTTATATTTTTAGTAGAGATGGGGTTTCACTCTGTTGGTCAGGCTGGTCTTGAACTCCTAACCTCAGGTGATCCACCCACCTCGGCCTTCCAAAGTGCTGGGATTACAGGCGTGAGCCACCATACCTGGTCCTACATTTTTTTATTGATACATAACAACCTCCATATTCATGGGGCATGTGTGATATTTTGATACCTGCATATAATGTGTAATGATCAAATCAGTACATAAGGTATTCATCACCTCATTTACATTTCTTTGATGTCGTGAACATGTCAAATCTTCTCATCTAGCTATTTTGAATTGTACAACATATTATAGTAACTGTGGTCACTCTACTGTGCTATTGAGTACTACAACATATTCTTCTAGCTATATGTTTGTACCCATTAACCACCCTCTCTTCCCTCACTCCCTACCCTTCCCAAACTCTGGTGACTAGCAAACTACTCCCTACCTCCATGAGATCCACCATTTAGCTCCCACATATGAGTGAGAACATGCAATATTTGTCTTTCTGTATCTGGCTTATTTCACGTAACATAATGACCTCCAGTTCCATCCATTTTCCTGCAAACGAGGAAATTTCATTTTTAGGGTCAAATAGTGTTCTGGGTGTGTGTGTGTCTGTGTGTGTGTTACATTATTTTTAATAGCAAAAATCACAGTTACTTTTGCACCAACTTAATATATATCATACACATACAGATATATATGTATCACATTTTCTGTATCCACTCATTTGTTGATAGACACGGGTTGATTTCATATCTTGGCTATTTTGTATAGTGCTCAAGTAAACCTCGGGATGTAGGTATTCCTTTGGTATACTGATTTCTTTTGGATAAAACCTAATAGTGAGACTGCTGGATCACAGAAAAGACAATTCTAAAATCTGAATGTTTGTTTTTAACAATCTTACTAGTAAAGTATGCTACCAAATCAGCAAATTCTACTAAGATAGAAGTCCGCTCAAATAATGTTTGCATTTCCAATGACTCATTAAGTACAATAATTACACCAATTACGTTCACTTCTGTTGCCCTCACGCTACTTAACATTCACCTACTCTGCCCCCAAAACTGTGCTAAGCATTTAACACAGAATTCACATACTAATGTGTGGGGTATCTGCATGACCCTGCCATGGAATATGAGAAATAAATTGATCTCTGTTTCCATTGGCAATGGAATGATAACAATTTTTCCTTTCCTTTTTCCTTGTTGCCATCTGTAGATCTATACCCATTAGAAATCACAGCGAGAAAGAGAGATGGGGAGGAGCTCAACAAGAGGCGAGAGATAGGAAAGAAGCATTACAGTTTGGCAAAAATGTGAGTCAGGGACCCTCCCTTTTTCTAACCCCTGGAAGCTCTGGCTGGAGCTCATCTTGCCTCCAGATGCAGAAAGTAGATTCTACACCATGGGACCGCTGTCTACAGCCATATCACCGTGAATGCACACAATCTCAGAAGCCAAGCAGGGCCTGACCTGGTTTGTACTTGGATGGGAGCCATCACAGCGTCACTTTTGAAATCCCTGGCAAATAGATTACATAATAGTTGGGCCTATTGTGGGTTTTTGGCAAGAGAAAAATAATAGAAGAGAAAGAGAAAGAGGTATGTGTTTCTGCTCCTGTTGAAATACCATTTGTCCTTTAAGACTTCCTGCTCTGTGAAGTTTTCTTCAAATTCTGTCCCATCCCACTCACCCCTGTCAGACTTAACTACTCTTCCTCCATCCTGCCATAGGCATGTGTGATAAGAGAAATAAAAGAAGACTATCATTTTCTGTGCATAGTGATGGTACCTGTATCTAAAGCAGAGTGCAGAAATGTCCACAATTCTCTTCCCCCTACCTCTGTTAAGAGCTGGAGCTCTTCCCCACTGCTGGCTTTGGCCTCGTAACTTGTTGTGGCCAACAGAACACGTCACGTGTATTCCAAGCCTGTCTTCTAGGGGCTGTGCAGGCTGCCTTTTGCCTCATTGGGACCCTGCCCCTGCCACTTGAACAGGCCTAGGTCTGCCTGGGAGAGGATGAGAGAGTATGCAGAGAAAGGCTCCAGTCATCCAGGCTATCACTTCCCAGCATGGCCCATCAGCCAGCCTACAAACACTTGAGCGAGTGCCGCCAGGAGCCACAGAGCCCAATTCGATTCGGCACAACTCCCCTGCTGGTTTGCAGACTTGGAACAGTGATGAAGGAATGTTGTCACACATCACTAACTCTGGGGTAGCTCATCAGGCAAAAGCTAACTGATGCAGGTTGCTGTCCCCCACTACAAGGGAATGCCAAGAGGGCTGTTAATCTTAGATCTCTCTGTGTCACCCCTCCACTAATATATTCTTGGGACATTCCTGATTCTCAACCAAAGCTCACAGACCAGAGAGGCATAGAGTGCAATGGAATGGAACTGAACTGTTGATAAAGGGCGGAGCACCCACAAAGAACGCTATGCATGCACTAATGGCACTGCCTGGCTCTTCTCCATGTCCCCAAGGCAAGAGCTTGGGAAAAAGGTTACCTGATCTCCAATGCCTTTGTCTGTCAGTTCATTCAGGGCTGGATTAATCCCTGCTCAGCTTCTCCTCCACCTCCCCCAACCCCTGTCCCCAGTCTGGCTGCTCGAATGATGTAAGCAGTAACCAATCTTACAGTCGGGGCAGTCAGCTGGCTGGCTCACTTCCTCATCCATTAAGGGAAGGCAGGCACTTTAGAAAGAACTGGAAAATATGACCAACCACCCACTCCACTCAACTCCCCACCCCTTGCCCCAGTCTCCTCTCCATGTCACATACACCCTAACCTCAAGAGACTGGAGCTGGAAAGTATTTAAGCCAAGGAAAGAAGAAACTGGAATTGTAGCCCCGCATGGGTTGAGCCACGAGATTCCTTTGGGCATGAGAACCAGTCTTGGGAGAGACAAACCAGCGCAATCTGGAGAGCCCCACCAGCTACCCTCCCCCTCATTCTTGCCACCCTCCACTCCAGGGGCTTTTTCATTTGGTACCAATGAAATGGGTATTCAGGAGCCAGAATGTCAGCATCAATGGTGGGGAAGGAGCCACACAGAAGATCCCCATCCCTTATCAGAAGTTGCTAGACTCCCTTACAAGGGCACAGTGGGACCCAAAGTTGATGACTTGAATGAATATGGGCAGACCAAATGTGGCCTGTTTGCTGAGTTCAGGCTTTTCATAACCTGTCGACAGTTACGCTATTTCTTTCTGTATCTACTATGAGTGGAGAATTCCACCACTGAAGAGTCAGTCCTTACTGCTTTGGAAACTTCTGCTGTTTCAAAGTCCCCAAGAAAAATGCACAGTAACACCTTCAGATTGGCTACTCACATGCTATAAGGTCTTGGGCAAGCCCCTTTAATCTTTCTATGCCTTAGTTTCCTTATCTGAAAAGTGCAGATAAAAATCCATCCCTACTTTACAGAGTTTTTTGAGTAAAAGAAAAAGATAATGTCAATAAAACTGGTTGCACAATAGTGTGTAAAAAATATGTGCTGGATGGGATCTCTGTTCTTTCCACTCAGTTTTGCTAGGAACCTAAAATTGCTCCAAAAAATCGTTTATTAATTTTTTATAAGTGCTGGACAAATGAATGTGGAATGCATAATAGATGGCTGGGCCTCTTTTATTCAGTGCTTACAGGCTGTAGAAAGGAAGATCGAAGTTGATGGTGGCATTTTTAGCTTTTAAAAAGGTGGGCACCTTTTTTTTCTTTTTGAGATGGTATTTCACTCTGTCACCAGGCTGGAGTGCAGTGGCATGATGTTGGCTCACTGCAACCGCGGCCTCATGGGTTCAAGCAATTCTCCTGCCTCAGCCTCCCAAGTAGCTGGGACTACAGGCATGCACCACCCTGTCCAGCTAATTTTTGTATTTTTAGTATAGATGGGGTTTCACCATGGTGGCCAGGATGGTCTTCATCTCTTGACCTTGTGATCCACCCACTTCAGCCTCCCAAAGTGCTGGGATTACGGGTGTGAGCTCCGTGCCCAGCCACAGGCTATCAGGCTATCACTGACCAGCCTGACCCATCAGTCAGCCTACAAACATCTGAGCGAGTACAGCCCAGAGCCACAGAGCCCAATCGGATTCAGCAGGACTGCCCTACTGGTTTGCAGACTCCGGAGAAGTGATGAAGGAATGTTGTCTTAATCCCTCAGAATAAGGGGATATAACCTAGAAATGGTTATTGGTGGCCCCAACTTGGAGATAAATTTGCATGAGTGATGAGAGACAGCATTTTAGAAGAAAAATGGATCTCATCATTCATGTGTGTTTCTGCCTAGCTTAGGGCTAACCACTGAGAAAGTGCTATTCAAGAAAGGAAGACACTGAATGGGTGTCTCTTACTCTCTGCCTGGCACATGTTCTTCTACCTCTGAAAAATGCATCCCCCTTCCTCTGGGATGTGTTCCTTCCACCTTGGAAGAAGCTTCCAATTGTGAAGATGTGCCTCCCTGATCTCAGGTGAGGTGCAGGGCCCAAGGAAAGCCAATGCTTCCCTAAGAGTTTTTGAGTTAGACCTCAGGTAGGGTGGGAGGGGAAGGCAGTTCCTCCTTAGGGTAAAAACACCAGGTCATGAAACTTGGCTGTTGCTGGCACCTTCGGTTCCAAAAGAGAGCCCGTCTGAGTAGATAAAACTAGCACATGAGCAGAAACCAAGATGGGGGACAGTGAGTCTGATCTGCTTGTCTCTTCCCTGTTCCCTGTTGACCCTGAGGCCAGCTGCACTCTGCCCTCCCTTGGTTCAGTTACAGGAACCAACAAATCCCCCTTCTAGCCTAGGCTGGCTATGGAAATTCTGCCATTTGTGACTAGTATAATCCTGGCTACTATAACTCTGTCTTTCTCCCTCAAAAACAATATAAGTCACTGGGAGAGAAGACATTATAAATAAAGCAATTAGAAAGCCATTCAAAATAGCACTAAATTGGGTAATTTTGAATTAACTCAACCTTGCATCTGTTTTTTCTTTTCTTTTTCTTTTATTTTTTCTTTCTCTTCATCTGTCTCTCTTTCTTGGCATTTTTCCCCAGCTGGCCGCTGAAAATGTGAAGATGAAAACACACACATGCAAAGCTTGCAATCTAGCAATGAGGAAGCCATAAATATAACTTGCGATAGTATGCAATTTATACCTTGGAGAGGTACATAGCAGCACCAGGAAAGCATAGAGGAGGGCTAATTTATTCTGAATGCTAAAGGAAGGTACTGTCGAGGCAGGGTTATTAAAGATGAGCTCTAATGGGTTTTGTGAGACAACCAAGACTGGGAGTTTACAAGAATGTAGATGGCATAAAGGAGATATCAATCCCAGAAGATTCCAGGGATGACTAAAAACAGCAAGAATCATAGTAGAGGTGGAGCCTGAGGTTGTTTAGAGCCCTGGGCAGCGCAAAGAAGCAGATGTCTTGTTCCCACCTCAGCCGCCACCTTAGCAACCATATTCAGGTGCTCTGCTGTTAAGGGGACCCTCTGCCTTGCCCACACTCTTCTTTCTACTGCCAACCTTTCCTTCTCACCTTGACACCGAAGGTCCTGTCCCACTTCTCCTTGGTTTCACTTACCCACAACTTCAGCTTAGGCCCATTAGACAACTTCTCACCATAAACTGGCACATTCTCTGTGCTTTAGCATCTGGTAGGGAAAAGCAGACAGTACCAAGCAGGATAAAGCTCTACACACCAGGGGCTGGCAAACATGGCCCGCAGGCCAAATCCAGCCCACCACCTGTTTTTGTAAATAAAGTTTTCTTGGATCACAGCCCAGGTCACTCATTTACATATTATCTGTAGCTGCTTCTGTGCTACCGCAGCAGAGTTGAATAGTTGCAGCCAAGACCAGATGGCTGACAAAGCCAATAAAATTTACTATGTAGCTCTTTCCAGATAAAGCTCCCAACTTCTACCCTGTACCACTGCTTCCTCTGAACGTTAGACTCCCCAGTACCAACTTTTATAGCTGGATTAAACCTTTTTTTTAATTTTTGAAACACGGTCTCAGTCACTCACCCAGGCTAGTACACAATGGTGCAATCGCAGTTCACTACAGCCTTGAACTCCTGGGCCCAAGGGATTCTCCCACCTCAACCTCCCAAGTAGCTGGGACTACAGGCACAAACCACCACACCTAGCTAATTTTCTCTCTTTTTTTTTTTTTTTTTTTTTTTTTTTTATGTAGAGACAGGAGTCTTTCTGTGTTGCCCAGGCTGGTCTTAAGCTTCTGGGCTCAAGAGATCCTCCTGCCTCAGCCCCGCAAAATGCTGGAATTACAAGTGTGAGCCAGTGCACCTGGCTGACTAGACATTTTAACGCATCTGTAAAGAATTGGCACTTGGGAATAAACCTTCTTAGACCCTTGTCAAAGAGGACTAAGTAGAAAATGTAGTCACTAAACTGGCTCAAGCCATAAGACTATTTTTACACACAACTAAAAAATATGGAAAAGCAACTCTTGACACTTTTTTTCCCTTAGAACTTTTTAGGGGAACTCTTTGGTGCCCTCTTTCCTTTCAGGGAACACTCAGGTCAGTCATAGGACATTGTTTCAGAAGCTTGAAAAATCACCTGCTACCCTTGAGTCCTGCACAAATATCTGTTGCAGCCCGTTCCAGGGTGGCGAAGCTATTTCAGTTTCTAAAGATCTCCTCCAAAGAGCATTTCCTAGCCTTCCTCCTCTTGTCTTACTCTGGAGTTTA